GCAGGCCATAAAAAGCAGGCAACTTAAATGTAAATGAAGACAAACCTGGCAGTTGTGTTCTGCACATGTGCCACTTTTAACTATGAAGTGATGCTGTACTCATACCCCAAAAATCTCACAACTTCACTGTTAATACCTCCTTGATTTTTCATGGGAGTTAAGCCTTCTTATGCTAGATAATACACGCAAGCAGAAGCTCCAAAGAGGGTCCCGAGGAAACGAGTTCAGAGCTGGCTTAAGGAAAGAGGTACATTCAAATAAGAAGACATAAAAAAGCATTTCAGCTGGGCATGACTCTGTCCATCAATCCTTTAAAGTGTGCTAAAGCAGACACGTCAAGAGTCTTGAGCATTAAAGTTTGTGGGAAAGTGCTTTTATAACCTCTTTCAGGCAGATATATGGGGATTTGACCAAATGCAACCTCTGATATAAGCGCTCCCAAAAGATAGATTTGGTGTACGTTTTCCAGTGTAAAATGAAAAGTATTCAGTGTTATTGAGATAATTTTTTTTCATAAAGAGCCCTTTAGAAGTATTTCAGTCTTTTACAACAATTTTATTGATTTGAGAGGCTTTTTAATATAATTGTTGTTCTTCTGCGTGATATAAATTAGCATAAAGTATCACCTCTAAATTAAAAGAAATTTCAAATAAAGTTAGGCACAGATAGATATAACCACTGTGATGTTACTAACAGTTCAGTGAAGTCCTGTTGAGGCTCAGTGTTTTTGTCATCACTGTCTCTGTTTTGATGATCGAAGGTTGGCATTGACTGAGAAAAATATCCTACTTGGACAATAATTTACAAAATGAACATCCTGTTGTATTCACAAAGATTATAACTGCCGAGTGAGCCCATAAACTAATCAGACAAGTGTCTATGGAGCTCACAGAGTAAGGCACTTTAAACAGTAAGGCCTGTTTAAAGTGCTATAGAGCCAGACATATTTTTGCTACCACAGCCATTAAACCTTGTTGGCTATTACAAATGATGCCGATTTAACCCAATTATGCATTGGCTTCAGTTTTAAGAAGTTTTATCTTTTACCTACAAACGATAGTATAATCTCAATGCTTTCCTATAATCGTTTACTGACCACTCAATGCTTTTAGAGGGTCCCTGACTGCAGCTTCCTCTGTAAAGAACCATTGTTCAAACTAGTGTTAGTGTAAAGCTTTCCACCCATCGTTATACATTTCACTTGTTTTAAAAGCCTGCAGAGACTCTGTCTACCTGAGTTACAACAGTTTTGTTTATTCCCTCATTTGAAATTTATTGAGCATATCGAGAGTCTAAGGAGTTAAACTTCGCCCACAGATCAGCTGATCTCAGTACCAACCAACTTCATGGCTCAGCTTACGCAGCCCTATGCAGCATATCAACAAATCTCACCTCTTCACACTGCCGAGGTTGTTTTAGCCTGCCCACAGCTGTTGCACTCTGCAAGCTGCTTTTCAGCCCACCCCCAAGCTGTGTCAGAGTTAATCAGGCTCAGGTCTGCTGTGACTTGTGCAAAATGTAAATAACTACAGATGAAACTATAAATCCTTTTATGACAACAGCCTTTGATATAGTAGTTGCATCTGAAGAGTATTTCTATTTCATGCAGTAGCTCTTCTAGCTGGATGAGCTTAGCTGAAAATGGGTGGTGACACATCTGGTGCAGCAATCAGGATGCATTAACCTTTGAATAAGAATCAGGAGACTGTTGGCGGGTAGTTCTGGTTGTTGTAGTTAAAATAAAAATGTTAAATGTTAAAACTGTCCTAAATGAACAATGCTTGAGTACATAATAATGCTGTTTTAAATTAACAATGGCTTTTAGAGAACAAGACTTTGGGGGCTCAAATAAAAAATAAATAAATAAAAAAAGTATGAGTACGCCTTAGGATGAGAGACTCTCTCACTTCCACGTAGCTCCACCAAAAATAAAACCCACTTTTTCTCAGTTGAAACCTTACGTCTCCTTTTTGAGCCTGGACGCAACCCTGTTGTCTCAGTCACCCTCTCAGTACGTGATGTTTCACAGCTTTTGCAGGATTATCGCCTTGAGTTAACAGGGTCTTAAATAACTCACTGGCACCAGGAATCGTACTGGGAATTTGCCACCTGCTGCATCGGCCATCCACAACCACACAGCAGTGGAGAGAGATGGGTGAATGTACTCCTGGGTGCGAGGATGGCGTCAAACAAGGCTGAGGGTCACGCGCCGCCTTGCGCACCACGCTCAACAGGAAGTGTGGCTTCCTTGAGTCTTTGCCGTGAGGGCAGAGGTCAGAGAACAGGAATGGTAGATCGTGTTACGGCACCCAGATGTGGCAAACAAAAGCCACAGCTCCAATCTCAAGGTGCCCCAATTGTACTGTGCAAGCTTAGCTCTGCAGAAACTGGAACTTGTATTCTGGAAGTGTCTTTCCTTTATAATACAGATGTTTCTTGATCTCGTTTTAAAAGATATAACCTTCTAAGGCTTTGTTGAGCCCTTTTGCTATTTTTATGGTTCACATTTGCATATTTTCCTATTTTAAAACATCAGTTTAACACTTACCCTGTGAGCTACATGGAAGCTTGACTGGACGAGTTTTGCTCTGTTGAATGTAAAGTGTTTGCCAAAGCCGGCACAGCACAAATGACTGGAGGAGAGGAGACTCTGCGTATGATTTATACACTCTGGGTGGAGCCTTTTGCACGTCTGTGTTTCAGAGCCTGTTTATGTTCTCAGTAAAATATTTCCAGTGGCTCTCTGCTACACCGCGCTTCCTCACCGGCCTGTCCGCTCCGTCAAGAGTGATGAGCTCGGGAATGAGAAACAGGTGTGCGTGAAATGTGGAGATCACTCCTTTATCTCTCGCTCTCTCTCCC